CAAAACTATGCATATGGGAAGAGATGCAAGAAACAGTCAGTTACATCACCTGGCAAGAGTTCCACTTTGTTCTGCATTCATTTCTAGCCAGTTGTGAGTTAAACAGCATGTTCACAGTTTTGTCCTCAGGTTGGCAATTTTGGTTTGTCTCAGTGTTTCAGGCTGCTTTCAAACCAGCAGTTTTACTAATCAGAGCATCTCTGCCCTCCCTGACCTGCTTTGCTGTCCTCAGACTTCCCGGTACAAGCATCTCTGTGGCTGTTTAATGAATCAGGTGTGGGGACTGATCTGAGTAGAGGAAAAAGTCGTTTAATCCAGCCCTTCTGGGTTTGAGTCAGCCCAGCTCAGTGTGAATGTCTGAGCAGCAGCTGAGGGCTGCAGGGAAGGCACCCAGGCCAAGCCTGCTCTGGCACAGGGCTTGCTTGTGTTGGTTGAGGTGTGCAGGAGCAGCAGTCTGGGTGCACTGAAGGTTGTGTTTTATCTGATTGGAGCTGTCCCTGACAGGGGAGATCCCACTCCTCTCTCCCTCCTCCCCTGGGGCTGCTTAGTGATTCCCTGGCTGCAGGGTGCTAAGCATGGAAATATTTGTGTTTCTCTTGCTTTCTCTTGTTTAATTTGATGAAGTGATCCCATTCACTGAGTGATTCCATGACCAGTAGATCCAGTGTCAGACTGGGACATGGAAATGTGTGGCTGGGGCTGAGGAGGAGGACGAGGCTGTGTTGGATCAGCCTGTGCTCACTGCCAGTGAAGCACAAGCGAAACCACATTTGGCTCTTCAGAGCAGTTCTCAGAACCACAGCCCACTGCTTGTCTTGTCTGTGCAAACCCTGCTACAGATGGAGGCCTCTTCAAACCAGGGCTGTTGGTTTGTTTAAAGAAATTAATGTAAATAAATCCCCATGTGGATGCAGCTCTTCTCCCTATAGTGTGTTAAATACTTTACACAGAACATCAGTAGAGGCGTAGAATGTGTGTAAGTGTTTTGGGTGTAGTCTGCTCTTGTGTATCCCTTCTGGATTCAAATTTCTATTTGAATTCTGTTTTAATTAACATGAGGACACAATCCAGAAGTTCTGAGGGATTAGTACTGATGCTTACCTATTAAAAATTTAAACAGAAACAGACATATCCCAATACATGTGCTGAACCACATCTCTGCAACTCGAACTGGGAAACGATGTGTGAGAGCTCATTTAATGCTGCTACTGGGTCCAAAGCCCCAGGACTCATCTCTCCCTTTTTTGGGAGTCTCTGTGTGTGTGGGTGGGCACTGGTGTGATCCAGGTTAGTAGTTTATCATTCCTCACAGTCCACAGAATTACAGACTCCAGGAGTTAGCGCAGAATTAAATTGGGTGCAGCTCTGCTGATTTCGCTGTGCTTTCCTTGACTCTGTTTCATCCCTCCTCTGGGGGGATGTTGGGGTGATACCTCTGAGCTGGCAGGAAGCCACAGGAGCCTCTTTGCTCTTTGAAACAGCTGAGCTCTGGCTTTTGCTGTGTGGATCAAGCGAGTGCTGCTGTTGGGTAGCATCCTTTGTTCAGTTGGTTTTTTTGGTTTTGGTTTTCATCATCTTCCTGTTCCATGCTCTTTGTGACTTAGCATGTGTTCTTTGCTGGTTATGGCACAAACATTTAACATAATTTTTTCACAGGTTGCCTATGCTGGCATTAATTCTTGGTGTTTTGTGGTCTGTAGTTACATTCATTGTCCTGCTCCAGAAACTCTGCCCGTTCCTTTTCCAAGCTATAGCTGGGGATGCATGCAGAACAGATGTAGATGTTTTGGAGGAGTGCTTTTTCTTAGACTGTTATTTGGTGTATGAGGTGTTCCAGCACCCTACTATGGAAAAAAATAACTTTACTCCTTCCATTTTGCCTCTTCCTCCTGCATTCCCCTGCCCTTGTCATACCAGGAAGGTGGCACATGGCTGTGTATCTCAGCCACTCTGGATTATCTTTTCCCATTTCCTTCTCCATAGCTCCCAACCCTTTGGGTGGCTGATCAGCATTTCTGTCTGAGTGCAAGAGCTGAGTGCTGGCTGTAGGGAGCCTCCAGCTGGGACAATCCAGGACTGGTGTCCTGCAGGGAGGATGTAGGATGGCAGTCCCTCCTGCCTTGTGGAGCTAAAGATGCCTGGTGGTTTAGGGGCCTGCAAACAATAAACCAAATTCCCTTGCTGTTCAGTGTTCCATAGGTTTTTTCTCTTTCCCAGTGCAGTATTGAGTGGTCATGTGCCTGGTGAGGCCTCTTCAGAGGTCAATTAAATGGGCAATCTGGATAATCAGTGTTTGGGGAAATAGTCCTTGAGGCAGAGTCCCAGGAGCTGTAGCCATGGGCCAGAGCCCTCCTGTGCCAGGCAGCATACAGGAATGAGGTGAAACTGTTTCAGAGAATGTCTTTACAAAATCCAAGAAATGCTTGTGCTTTCTGCTCTGTTGTTGGTATGATGAGCATCTCCTCCAGCTCCTCAGCAGTTCACCAGCCAGCTCTTGAACCAGGCAGGCTCCTTTCACCTTCTGTGGTGGACAGAAGTTATTTTTAGAGTTTAAACTTGTCAATGGACTAAGTTTGTGGACTTGAAAAAGGAAATCCTTTTGTATGTGATGGGGAATTTGGGTTTTGGAGAAGTTGAATGTCATTACACAGGTGATGACGATGGGAGGAATACATGATCCGCAAGTCTTTGGTTTTATTTAGGAGTGAAAATTCATTCCTGCAGTCAGTGTTTCCAGTGCTGGGTCTTTCCCTTGTCCCTGGCAGTGCCCTCTCTTGTCAGATGTGTAGCTGCTGCCCTGGAGTGTTTGCACTCCTTGTGGCAGACCAGCTGGCTGTTCCTGCAGGAGCACTTGGGAGCTGAGCACCAGCTGCTTCTGGGCAGCCAAGGGAAGGTGTGAACACTGGAAATGGAGCAGTGGAGGGAGTAGCAGCAGCAGGAATGTGGTAACAGGTAGAGAGTAGAGTACAAGCCCACTGTGAGCAGGGTATACACACACCAGTTGTGTTTGATAACAGGCAGACTTTCCCTGGGGGACTTTCCCTGTCCCTTGCTGGAGAGTGGAGCAGCATTTCTGTCTGAGTGCAAGAGCTGAGTGCTGGCTGTAGGGAGCCTCCAGCTGGGACAATCCAGGACTGGTGTCCTGCAGGGAGGATGTAGGATGGCAGTCCCTCCTGCCTTGTGGAGCTAAAGATGCCTGGTGGTTTAGGGGCCTGCAAACAATAAACCAAATTCCCTTGCTGTTCAGTGTTCCATAGGTTTTTTCTCTTTCCCAGTGCAGTATTGAGTGGTCATGTGCCTGGTGAGGCCTCTTCAGAGGTCAATTAAATGGGCAATCTGGATAATCAGTGTTTGGGGAAATAGTCCTTGAGGCAGAGTCCCAGGAGCTGTAGCCATGGGCCAGAGCCCTCCTGTGCCAGGCAGCATACAGGAATGAGGTGAAACTGTTTCAGAGAATGTCTTTACAAAATCCAAGAAATGCTTGTGCTTTCTGCTCTGTTGTTGGTATGATGAGCATCTCCTCCAGCTCCTCAGCAGTTCACCAGCCAGCTCTTGAACCAGGCAGGCTCCTTTCACCTTCTGTGGTGGACAGAAGTTATTTTTAGAGTTTAAACTTGTCAGTGGACTAAGTTTGTGGACTTGGAAATCCTTTTGTATGTGATGGGGAATTTGGGTTTTGGAGAAGTTGAATGTCATTACACAGGTGATGACGATGGGAGGAATACATGATCCGCAAGTCTTTGGTTTTATTTAGGAGTGAAAATTCATTCCTGCAGTCAGTGTTTCCAGTGCTGGGTATTTCCCTTGTCCCTGGCAATGCCCTCTCTTGTCAGATGTGTAGCTGCTGCCCTGGAGTGTTTGCACTCCTTGTGGCAGACCAGCTGGCTGTTCCTGCAGGAGCACTTGGGAGCTGAGCACCAGCTGCTTCTGGGCAGCCAAGGGAAGGTGTGAACACTGGAAATGGAGCAGTGGAGGGAGTAGCAGCAGCAGGAATGTGGTAACAGGTAGAGAGTAGAGTACAAGCCCACTGTGAGCAGGGTATACACACACCAGTTGTGTTTGATAACAGGCAGACTTTCCCTGGGGGACTTTCCCTGTCCCTTGCTGGAGAGTGGAGAGAAAGGGGAGGCTACAGCAGGGGTGGGGCAAACAGGGAGTGGAGGAAAATCTCAGAATCACAGAACACCCTGTGTTGGGAGTGATCCACCAAGAGGAGGTAATCCAACTCCTGGCCCTGCCCAGGACACCCCAACAATCCCACCCTGTGCATCCTGGAGAGCATTCAAACACTCCTAGAGCTCTGGCAGCCTTGGGGCCATGCCCATTCCCTGGGGAAGCTGTTCAGTGCCCAAAGAAAACCTTTCCAAATGTCTGGATAGCAAATATGTTATTTTCATTTTTCCTTGATGGTTAACAAGAGAATTCTGTCTAGTTGAGAGGCAGCAAATAGCAACTTTCCATATTCTGCTTTTGTTCATTTGGACAAAATAAAAATAAAAAACCCATTTACTAAACCTGTAATGTCACAATGTGAAACTGTTACAGCTTTTCCAGTAAGTCACTGGTTTTCTGAATTACTGTGGTACTTTGTGACTTGCAAGTGACTAACTTCTGGGCTGACACCAAGCTCACGTGGCGACCAAGCAGCCTGTAGGAAATGAGCCTTATTTCCTCTCCCTGTTTGTTTGTTTTTTTTTCTTTTCTAACTTGTAAGGTGACAATAAGATGACAATAAGGTTGAATGAAGCTCTTGGAAATGAATAGAGTAGAAATTAACAGAAGTGAGTCAGGTTGTGGTGAAAAGCTAAAGGCAGGGGTAAGCCAGGTTTATTCAGTGCTGTTTCTAAATTCTTTTCCTTGAAGGGGAATAAAGGAAAATATATGAATAGGAGGATTTTTGAACTTGAATTGAGGAATTAACAATGAAAATAAAACAAACTATGACCATAACTAAATTATGAAGTGATCCAATGACTCTTTTCTTTTTTTGTTTCCCAAAGGCCGAACTCACAGGCATCAAATGGCGTAGGTACAACTTTGAAGGCCATGGGGACTGTGGGCCCATCATTTCAGCTCCAGCCCAGGATGATCCCATCCTGCTCAGCTTCATCCGCTGCCTGCAGGCCAACCTGCTGTGCGTGTGGCGCCGGGACGTCAAACCCGACTGCAAGGAGCTCTGGATATTCTGGTGGGGGGACGAGCCCAACCTGGTCGATGTCATCCACCGCGAGCTGCACAGTAAGCCACTCTTTGCTTCTCACTTACTTCCATTTTTGCCAGTGAAAAAGCAATTTTTAATAATGCTTTAACTTGCTACCTTATGTGATTTTGTCATAGTTCATGTTTTAAGACCTACAGGAAAACAAAAAACCTGTAAGTTTGACTTTTTTTGCTGTGTGATAAAATGCAAAGTGAAACTTGAACTCAGGAGACCTGTAGCCAACATCATGACTTGAATTTTTGTGGAACCTCTGAAAGTAAATTCTAGTTTCAAGGGATGATGACAATAATGATAATAATAATACCCCACCTCTGCCGTAAGGTAGTAGCTGATGGAATAAATCACCTCTCCTTAAGTTAGGTGAACTCCATGGCACCCCAGGTAAAATCTGTGAGGTCAGGACTTGCTCCTTGCTCGTGCTGCAGGATTTGAGCATGATCCAAGGCGAGTTGCAACAAGTGAGTGGAATAGGAGGCAGGAAGAAGCAGGTAGGTCAGAGGTGACAGTGATAAGTTGGTGATTATAGGCTTTGTGTAACTGGGATTGTCCTCAGAGTCGCCAGCATGTGGAGCTTTAACATGATAAAGTTACTCCTACTGTGTCTGTTGTGATCCTGTTTGGGTTTGACTGTATCCAGTGTGTATTATTTTCTTTTCAGTGGTGTATTGTTGCTATGACAAGTCTTAGTTTGCCTGAACTAAAAGGTGTTTTATCAGGCTGATGAATTTTACCTCTATTTTCACCTTGTGTCTTGCAAGAAAACAACTGAAGTTTACTAGTTCTAGAATAATAACAGTAGTTAAAAAAGCCCAAGACAATCATAAGGATCAGGTTCTGGCTTCTTGCAATATTTTTTTATGCTTGTGGCCTTTAGACCTTCTGGTGACTTGGTGATAAAATTTGTTTCAAGTACACAGTATATTTTGTTTATCAAGTGTGCGTGAGTTGTCCCTTATCTCCCACCTGTACCCTGCACTGTTTAGTCCTGGGTTATGGTATATTCATTTCTTTTCATTCTGTTCTAAGAACTGTTCCGAACTTCCTGCTTTGCTGGCTGCCAGATTGTTTATTTGGCACCAGAGCCTGTGAAATCACAGATATGGAGGCCTGGGTACCTTGGGGTGTGTTCCACGCAGGTAGCCCTGTGATCATGTATAATTAAAGAGATGGCTCACAAGTGCTGTGCTGAGCCATTCCACTGACATTCATTTTTTATGAGGCACCTGTTTTGAATGAGGGAATGGGTAATATTTCTACTTACCCAGCAAAGCTTTAATAATATATGCTTTTCTCTTAGTGAAATATAGTTTATTTAATATTTCAAATGCAGTAGATGGGACTTAAGTATCTTTTTATTTGAGGGGAGTTGCAGGTGATGCTTCTGTTTGTGTTGTAAATTGATGGAGCTTGTTTATATCTGACATCTTGGTTACAACAATGTGATGCTGCTTGCAGTGGTGGTGGTATGGAAATCAGCTTAAATGTCTGGACAGCTGAACCTGCTTCTGCTGGGTGCAGTATGGGGCAGAGCATAGCAAAGCAGCACTGTCACATTGTTTGCCTGGTTCAAAATTATATGGAATCACAGAATTATTTAGTTCAGAAAAGACTTCCAAGGTCATTGAGTCCAGCCAGAGCACTGAGTCCCACATCCAGGTGTCCTTGGACACCTCCAGGGATGGGAACTCCACCACCTCCCTGGCAGCCCCAGCCAATGTTTAACACCCCTTCATGCAGAAATTCCTTGGTGTCCAACCTGGCACTCCCCTGGCCCAGCTTGAGGCCATTCCTCTCCTCCTGTCCCTGTTCCCTGGGAGTAGAGCCCGACCACTCCTGGCTGTCCCCTCCTGTCAGGAGCTGTGCAGAACCACAAGGTCCCCCTGAGCCTCCTTTTCTCCAGGCTGAGCCCCTTCCCAGCTCCCTCAGCTGCTCCTGGGGCTCCAGCCCCTTCCCAGCTCCCTTCCCTTCCCTGGACATGCTCCAGCCCCTCCAGGTCCTTCCTGAGCTGAGGGGCTCAGAACTGGACACAGCACCCAAGGTGTTCCTGCATCCAGGCTGGAGCCTTCAGAGCAGTAACTTCTGAGTGGAATTCAATCTGAAACTCGTTTGTTGTCATGTGTGTAAATCCTACAAGGATAGATTTCCTTGTTCTATATTAAAAGCACATTGAAACACTTGTAGTGACTTATCAGATATAGTTCAAAGTGATGTAAATTGTGTAAGTGTTGTACATTTTCCGCTGATAGAGCTGTTGGGCTCTGTTCAGTACATTTTAGAGTTCAAACATCAGTATTGACTAATATTGAGCCTCAAATTCTGCCAGAACAAGGCATTTATGTCCATTGATTCCTTGAGATAGGACAAAGGACACAGTTTGTGTTCACTGCTTCATGCAGCCAGAAGGCAAAAGGAACAAGTTTATTCTGCTTTTTGTTATAAACAGGCCACAATACTGAGCTATTTGATACTTGAAATTAGCTTCCTGAAAATATAAAAGGCTTTTCCATGTGGGCATACAAACAGAAAATAGGAAAATTACTGAAGCAGAGTTTTCCTTGCCTGTCAGCTGGGCCAGGTAACACGATGCCTTTTTCTGGTATAACATGCTCAGGAAATGAGCTGCTTTGGCTTAAAATGCTGTTCCTGCAGGTTGGATTGTCTGTGTGACTTCGAGTTCCACAGCCAGAACTTTGTTCTTGTGCTGTATTCACATCTTCAGGAGCAAAAGTCCCAGGAATTTGATGCTGCAGATCCAAGAGGAAGACTAGAGTCTATCTGAAACATTGACATCTGAGATATAGGGACTATAGGGAATAATGCCTGTTAGTAAGGTCATGAATTCTTATAAAGTTTTGAATTTCTCTTTTCCTGCTTAGGACTTGTGCTTTGAAAGTGAAATATTTTAGTGATAATTAAATTTTAAAGAATTTAATTTTTAAATATTATGTTTTATTAATTCAAGTCTAAATTATAATTTATTTTTTTTTCTGGATAAGAGTCACTCCAATAGTGCTGTGTGATATTTACTGCTTTCAGTAAACAGAGGAAAAGTGGGGACTTGGTGATAAAATTTGTTTCAACTACACAGTATCTTTTGTTTATCACGTGTGCTTGAGTTGTCCCTTATCTCCCACCTGTACCCTGCACTGTTTAGTCCTGGGTTATGGTATATTCATTTCTTTTCATTCTGTTCTAAGAACTGTTCCGAACTTCCTGCTTTGCTGGCTGCCAGATTGTTTATTTGGCACCAGAGCCTGTGAAATCACAGATATGGAGGCCTGGGTACCTTGGGGTGTGTTCCACGCAGGTAGCCCTGTGATCATGTATAATTAAAGAGATGGCTCACAAGTGCTGTGCTGAGCCATTCCACTGACATTCATTTTTTATGAGGCACCTGTTTTGAATGAGGGAATGGGTAATATTTCTACTTACCCAGCAAAGCTTTAATAATATATGCTTTTCTCTTAGTGAAATATAGTTTATTTAATATTTCAAATGCAGTAGATGGGACTTAAGTATCTTTTTATTTGAGGGGAGTTGCAGGTGATGCTTCTGTTTGTGTTGTAAATTGATGGAGCTTGTTTATATCTGACATCTTGGTTACAACAATGTGATGCTGCTTGCAGTGGTGGTGGTATGGAAATCAGCTTAAATGTCTGGACAGCTGAACCTGCTTCTGCTGGGTGCAGTATGGGGCAGAGCATAGCAAAGCAGCACTGTCACATTGTTTGCCTGGTTCAAAATTATATGGAATCACAGAATTATTTAGTTCAGAAAAGACTTCCAAGGTCATTGAGTCCAGCCAGAGCACCGAGTCCCACATCCAGGTGTCCTTGGACACCTCCAGGGATGGGAACTCCACCACCTCCCTGGCAGCCCCAGCCAATGTTTAACACCCCTTCATGCAGAAATTCCTTGGTGTCCAACCTGGCACTCCCCTGGCCCAGCTTGAGGCCATTCCTCTCCTCCTGTCCCTGTTCCCTGGGAGTAGAGCCCGACCACTCCTGGCTGTCCCCTCCTGTCAGGAGCTGTGCAGAACCACAAGGTCCCCCTGAGCCTCCTTTTCTCCAGGCTGAGCCCCTTTCCAGCTCCCTCAGCTGCTCCTGGGGCTCCAGCCCCTTCCCAGCTCCCTTCCCTTCCCTGGACATGCTCCAGCCCCTCCAGGTCCTTCCTGAGCTGAGGGGCTCAGAACTGGACACAGCACCCAAGGTGTTCCTGCATCCAGGCTGGAGCCTTCAGAGCAGTAACTTCTAAGTGGAATTCAATCTGAAACTCGTTTGTTGTCCTGTGTGTAAATCCTACAAGGATAGATTTCCTTGTTCTATATTAAAAGCACATTGAAACACTTGTAGTGACTTATCAGATATAGTTCAAAGTGATGTAAATTGTGTAAGTGTTGTACATTTTCCGCTGATAGAGCTGTTGGGCTCTGTTCAGTACATTTTAGAGTTCAAACATCAGTATTGACTAATATTGAGCCTCAAATTCTGCCAGAACAAGGCATTTATGTCCATTGATTCCTTGAGATAGGACAAAGGACACAGTTTGTGTTCACTGCTTCATGCAGCCAGAAGGCAAAAGGAACAAGTTTATTCTGCTTTTTGTTATAAACAGGCCACAATACTGAGCTATTTGATACTTGAAATTAGCTTCCTGAAAATATAAAAGGCTTTTCCATGTGGGCATACAAACAGAAAATAGGAAAATTACTGAAGCAGAGTTTTCCTTGCCTGTCAGCTGGGCCAGGTAACACGATGCCTTTTTCTGGTATAACATGCTCAGGAAATGAGCTGCTTTGGCTTAAAATGCTGTTCCTGCAGGTTGGATTGTCTGTGTGACTTCGAGTTCCATGGCCAGAACTTTGTTCTTGTGCTGTATTCACATCTTCAGGAGCAAAAGTCCCAGGAATTTGATGCTGCAGATCCAAGAGGAAGACTAGAGTCTATCTGAAACATTGACATCTGAGATATAGGGACTATAGGGAATAATGCCTGTTAGTAAGGTCATGAATTCTTATAAAGTTTTGAATTTCTCTTTTCCTGCTTAGGACTTGTGCTTTGAAAGTGAAATATTTTAGTGTGCAGGTTGGATTGTCTGTGTGACTTCGAGTTCCACAGCCAGAACTTTGTTCTTGTGCTGTATTCACATCTTCAGGAGCAAAAGTCCCAGGAATTTGATGCTGCAGATCCAAGAGGAAGACTAGAGTCTATCTGAAACATTGACATCTGAGATATAGGGACTCTAGGGAATAATGCCTGTTAGTAAGATCATAAATTCTTATCAAGAATAAAGTTTTGGATTTCTCTTTTCCTGCCTAGGACTTGTGCTTTGAAAGTGAAATATTTTAGTGATAATTAAATTTTAAAGAATTTAATTTTTAAATATTATGTTTTATTAATTCAAGTCTAAATTATAATTTATTTTTTTTTCTGGATAAGAGTCACTCCAATAGTGCTGTGTGATATTTACTGCTTTCAGTAAACAGAGGAAAAGTCCAAATTGAGGTTTTGTTTTCAGAAGCACTTCAAAAACTTTTGCTCATGAACTCTTTCTCTTTATAACACTGAAGATTTGGTAAACAACAAATCTGCCATTAATAAAAGAATTTCAAATAGTCATAGGGAAAACAACTTAGTGGTTGTAAACAGGAGGTATGAGCAGAGTTGTTTATGTAGTAGCTTTCCAAAACTGTGGATAATTAAATGCTGTCATGGGAGATTAAGTAAAAACAATTATTTGCAGAGCAGTTATAGATCAGTGGAGTGGTTGGATTAACCAAGCAGCTGGGAACTTCAGAGGTCTCTCTTGCACATTCTCCTCCATTTCTTCTTCCTGCCAGCCTTGACTGTGGTGTTCTGGTTTTTATTGTGCTGGCATTTAAAACTGGATGAGAGGTTGAAGATCTCTATTCAGTCCTGGGTGGAAAAAGCTGATTGGGGTGGGGTCAGTGAGTGGGGAAAAACTAGAGTGGCTCTATAAATCTGAAAAAGTTGGGTGTGCTTAAGTTTGTTGAAGTTTGGTTTTCTGAAAGATAAATGCTATTGAATGATATTGCCTGGAGAGGTTTGGCAACTGTTCCAGCCACAGTACCTTTTCCTATAAATCCATTTTTTTGTACATCCGACAGAAGAAGTGGAAGGAGAGGAGGGAGTGTCTGACTGTTGGCAGCGTTTTTGACAGGAACTTTGTGGATTTGCAAGTTGCAGAGCTCTCATTTGCATTTGGTGACCAAATACCATCTGGAGCATCACGGAGAATTTAGACTCGACTCTTGGGTTTTCTCTCTTTTCCCACCCCTGCCCTAGACCCTGTGGGTTCCACAGAGATTATAGGGAAGGGAGGTCTGTTCCTCAGTTCCCTTCTTGGCTTTTGCAAAGAGCACTTTGCCCTGACATTTTACACCGCTCCAAGAGTTGGACTTGATGATCTTGTGGGTCTCTTTCAACTCAGAATAATCTGTAATTCTCTGACAGTTTTGTCTATCAATTTATAATCTCTGTTCTGGATTTATGGATACATTCCACTTGGTCTGCTGCATTTGTGGTACAGAATATTGGCATTCTCCAATAGGGATTATGATGTATACCTCTACTGAGACGCAGCGTTTTTGACAGGAACTTTGTGGATTTGCAAGTTGCAGAGCTCTCATTTGCATTTGGTGACCAAATACCATCTGGAGCATCACGGAGAATTTAGACTCGACTCTTGGGTTTTCTCTCTTTTCCCACCCCTGCCCTAGACCCTGTGGGTTCCACAGAGATTATAGGGAAGGGAGGTCTGTTCCTCAGTTCCCTTCTTGGCTTTTGCAAAGAGCACTTTGCCCTGACATTTTACACCGCTCCAAGAGTTGGACTTGATGATCTTGTGGGTCTCTTTCAACTCAGAATAATCTGTAATTCTCTGACAGTTTTGTCTATCAATTTATAATCTCTGTTCTGGATTTATGGATACATTCCACTTGGTCTGCTGCATTTGTGGTACAGAATATTGGCATTCTCAGGGATTATGATGTATACCTCTACTGAGAATACAGGTTGGTGGCTGTAAGCACAGCACTGGAGGTGGACTCTGGAAGGCTGGCAGGAGATAGGAGCTTGAAAATGAATAAATTCTGGGTGTTTGATAGTTCTTTAGGTAAAACTACATCTTTCTATCAGCTTAGTAGCTTGTGTGCCTGAACTCACTGATTCTGGTAGGTATTTGGGATTTCCATCTATATATTGCACATGATCCATTAATTTCTGGAGCTGCTTCCCCAGAAAAATGATACTATTTCAATTTCTGCTGTGTGGAATATAAGAATTTGGATGGAAATGCTTATGAAGAATAGATGATCTTGAATGAATTAGGCAATTCTTTCCTGAAAGATTATTGTACAGGATCTTTGCAGCTTGGTAAGTTTAAAAACATAGCTGAAATTTGAGCTATGACAGGAAAAACCTGGAGCTTCGGCTCGTTCCTGTTTATGAATTCTTGGCATATCAGGCTGGCGCAGCCGTAATCCCCTGGTGCTGATAAAAGTGAGGAGGGAAAAATGCTGCCTGTAGGAAGAGCTGTGTGCAGGGCACCCACATTAACCCATGTGGCTGTGCCCAAAATGAACTTCTCTTATTGTTTCTCTATCTGAAATTTGCTGATATTTACCTACAGGAAAGCAGAACATTGTCAGCTCTGTTTTTAAGGATCTTTCCTGAGGAGAACAACTTGCCCCAGAACTCAGTTTAGTTGTTTTTATTCCTGCTAGGAAGGGTTCTTGATGCTCTCTTATGAACTGCCAGATTTCAAAGTTTCATTTTTCAGTCAAGTCTTCTAAATCAAGTCAATGTTTAACCTGTAAATGTTTAGTAGTTGGTGCTTGTCAGCATTTAGTAGGGATTAAAAGAAAAACAATGTAAAGCTTGGAAAAAATTGATATTTTTTGTTTCCACTAATGTAAAAGAGAATAAAGTAGTGAAAAATCTACTTTCCATTTCAGTTTGAGCCTATTTAAGGTTCTTTCAGGGTACTGTCTTATTTCTGCAATTGTGAGGAATTGGGAGCTCTGTCAGGAATTAGAGTATTTTCTAAGCTCTGTGTAGTGAGATATGTTAATTATTGAATGAGAAGATGTTCCTGTCTATTCAAACACATTTTAAGTGTGTGAAGCAATGCGTGAAATGAAGACTGAGCCCCCTTGCTGTGAAATGGGTGTTCAAATGAGAGTGCTCCTCAGTCTTTTCATTCTGCTATGAGATTATGGCAAGAAGGGAGGGAGTTGCTGCTGGAATTGCATTACCCCTGACTTGGAGACTTCTTTGGATTTGCCCAAAGGTTATTCCTGGGATCCCTGGGCTTTGGTGAAAGCATGGGATGTGTATTACAACAATTTTCTGCACTCTGAGTAACTCCATAAACCCCAGAACTCTTTGTCATGCCCAGAGGTACCAGGAGCGAGAGCAGCCAGGGCTTGGAAAAGCAGTTCATGAACAAGGAATAAAGGATCTGAAATGCAAGGCTTTTGGAAGGCTTTCCATTTAAAAAAGCAGCAATGAATATCAAGCGGCTGAGTACCACTTATTAATAATTTGAAGTGAAATCTGAAAATGGTTAATTGCCGGTTCTTGAGCGCAGAGTGGAATTAACAAGTAGGTTCCTGTGACAGAAGACTTTATTGGAATATTAAGTTACTGAAAAGTCTGTTTCTGGCTTGATTATTTTCAATAAGATAAGTAATTTGCATTTTCTTAATTGCCTAGCATAGATTATTCCCAAAGACATGAAAACAGAGTTCAACTTTTCCATTCTTTCGGCCAGAAGATGGGATTGAAAAGTGAATTCCTACTTTCTCAGCCCGCAGAATTGTTCTGTGACCCTTATATCTGACACTGGTAATTGGTGTCCGGTGATTGCCAGTTGAAGTTCAGCTTAGACAAAATAAACTTTTTCTTTTAAGCAGGCATATTAAATGAGGTTATTATGCCATCATTTGGGATTAAGGAATTGCTTCATGGGAAAATGCCAACTCCTTTTATACACATGAAGTTGACAAGAGCCTTATTGTGTCTGGGCGAGATGTCTTCATTTTGTTTTGCTTTCTTTTAAAAATAAATGTTCTTCCCTCCACTTCTACTCCTTCTACTTGAAAGTTGGGTCATGGGAGTCTTTAAAAATAAAATTAAAACTGAGTGTCCTGTTTGGAATTCTGATTGCACTTACTTTTGCCTTAATTCCTCTTTCCTGCAGTGGTTTTGTCTCCACATGAACAGGGAATCTCAGTGTTCAGAGTAGGATCCAATGAGTAATGTGGCATTTGAGAATTCATTACCAATTCTAGTCAAGAAATGGACCTTACTGATCCGTGTGGGTCCATTCCAGCTCAGGATCCATGGATCATTCTCACATAGTGTGTTTTCCCTCTTACAGCTGGCAATATCTAAAGCTAAAAAGTCTGGTCTTTATTAAAAAGTCTGAAATCTACCAAAGGGCCATATGCAAAAAAGCCTCATGCTTTTTGTTGTTTTATTTTATTTGTATCACTCAAGAATTAATATCTTAATTTTGTTCATGGCTGAGAATTTGGAGGTTTTCCTGTTGATTGCTACAAATTACCTAATGAAAACAGTTTAGAGGAAAGACGCTGATGGAAGGCAAAGCCAAGACATTCTCTACTGAATCCATGTGCTTCCTCATAATCTTTCTGCTTTCCAAACACAAGCTCAGTTCAACTGAAATAGTTGAAATTTTGTGTAATTAACCTTTAGGTTTTATTTGCCACACAATAGTTCTTGTTTATCTCTGGTGTTTTTGTGAAAAAAGGAGTCAGTATTCCAGAGGCAATATTAACAGCTGCCTTCTGGGTGGACATTTGATGGTCCTTTGGCAGAACTGTGTCAGCAAGGCCAGACTTAGAGCAAATCCAGGATATTTAAACTGGGATAGAACTGTGGGAGTGGAACTGCCAGGAAAGCACTGGAAATCCAAAGCAAGGTTCCAATAGCTGGGAATC